TCGGCTTCAAGAAAAACTCATAACCAGAGGAACCACCGTTTCTCTGCGAGGCACCAGAACACTGGCCTCATACTCTGCCAGCTACTTTCTCTGCTAATGACGAACCCAAAAAGGCAAACGTCTGCAGCCTCACTTCACTGAAGCCACGAGAGACCTTCTCCACATGAGGCAGGAGGTTTCTATGACGAGGTTGTTTGGTGTCAGGTCTGGTCTAGCTGCCATGAATCTGCTGTTGGCTCGGTTGAAGGGAGGATTCAAAGGCAGGTTAAAGGTAAACCAGGTAGATTTACGACAGCACTGTAGTGTCCAATGACCCAAAACCCTGGATATGACTAGTGGACTTCAAGTCAACTTTGGCACGTGACCATATGTTCTGCAGCATATCTAATGGAACTCACCTCTTTTATATTTCCTTCAACACTCACTAGTGTCTTGTCACCACAGTTGCCGGCCTCTGCGATGGAGCAAACTGGCTTTTGGGAATAAAGGAGCATCTGAGCATTCAGATCCAGATCTTCAGGGACATCAAAAGCCTTCGTCTTTGAAATTTTGCTGCATTTGGTAACTTTCATGATGGTCTCCTCTATGATTACATCTCTGAAAAGGTAGAACTGCTCCTCCTTGAATTGTTGAAAGCGCTCTCTTCCGTACACCATCACCTTAATGACATCTGTATCGTCAGCGACTGCCAGGTAAAAGAAAAACTTCTTCTGACCTTCACCTATATACGTACGCAGACCAGATTTCTGCACAACTTTGCCGACTATGGCTTTCTGGTCGAGCCGCGTATCAGTGAATTTTACATCCTGGATGGTTTTTCTCTGAACACAAACAGAAAGAAAAGAATTAACAACATAAATATCTGAACAAGTCAGAGCCAAGTCAAATGCTGTGAGTAATAAAGCAGGACTCAGAACTCCACTCACCCACGGGGGAATTTTTCTTTCCTGGAAAATAAACATTTGTTAATGCTCAGTTACTCATCATGGAAGAGCTTAAATGACTTTTATATTAAAAAAAATAAAATAAAATTGTGAGGAAGGTGGCAGATGTACTGCTCTGATCGTCTGATGTGGTTAACATGTGTAAGTCTTTGTTATGCTGAAGAACATCAGCTGACTGTGACGTGTTTCATCATACATACAGAATAAATGAGCGTAAAATGAAGACAGTCAGACTGTGTGTAATATAATATCTACTACTTATCATCAACCTAACAAGTTCACTTCATGGCTGCTACCTGGTCCGGCTCGTGGTTCTTCAGTTCATCTTTGAAAGAAGAAACAAACATGAATCAGTCAGTTTCCAAACTCCTCAGTGTTCAAGACTTCTTGTTGTGTCATTTTATCCATCAGTAGACTTTACAAGACAAAATGATCCCACCAATGTGATAAAAACATGTTTTTATAGTGTTTTGTTATAAACTTAGACGTGTCAGTTAAAAGCTGTTGATGTTCTGTCACTGAGCCCCTCCACAACCAGACAGACTCCCGCCATTACAAGCCAGTAAGAATTCAATCGAAGTAACCAACCAATAGCTGTCCAGTTCAGACTCTGTAGCTCCGCCCCCTCACTGCTTCCAGGTGAACCAGTCAGAATGAGCCGCTGCCTCTCAGTCCACCAGGTTTGTTTACTTTCTACAGCTGCTTCTGCTGAACTCGAGCACAGGGATCTCCAGCTCTGGTCCTCGTGAGCTCCTGTCCTGCAGGTTTTAGATGTTTCCATACTGCAACACACCTGACTCACATCAATGGATCTCCAACAGCTTGTTGTCAAGTTCTACACAAGTCTGTTCATGATCCATTAGTTTGAGTCAGGTGTGTTGCAGGAAACGTCTTAAACCTGCAGGACAGGAGCTCACGAGGACTGGAGTTGGAGATCCCTGTGCTAGAATGTCTGAACCACGAACAAAATTCATCAAATGTTCTGCTGCAAGAGTGAACACAAGCGTCTTCATGCACTGCAGCATCTGAGGAGCTGAACACCCGGTGGATTACTGTTATTACTGGTCATCCCCACAATCAAACCTGCAGTGTCAGCGGGTTGTGCAGCTAATGCGGCTAACGTTAGCGTTTCTGTCCACAGCTCAGAGCTCTGTGGAAACTTGAGTTTAAGCCAGTAAAGCAGGACTGGGTGGGTTACTGTGTTTTCATGCTTCCATCTGGTACATAAACTGCATTTAATATCAGCTGAACTCTCAGTGAAGCTGCTCTCAGTCACAGATGTTTCTGTTTCTGCTGTCAGACGGCAGAACGAGGATGAAACGGTGAAAGTCATTCATCTATTGTCAAAGATGTAAATCTTCTGAGGCTGATCTTTCCTCATGAAGTAAAACCTCCCAACATGTTTATCTGTTGTGTTTCAGGTGTCTTGTGTGCGTTTACTTACCAGCATTAGCTTTCTGAGCTCCAGCCGAAGACCCTGAATCACAACAAAACACAAACACACTTTGTCACACAGTTCAACACAAAGCTGCACAAGTCACTGAATATTAATCACATGCACGATGTCCTCCAGTGAAATGGAAATGATCCACTGTGATACTGAGTTTAAAACACTCAGCTCATGACGGAAAACAACATCATGAAGGTGAAACTACCTGGTTTCAGGTAGATCTGACATCAGAACATCATTTCACTCTTTTCTAAACAGATTTCTGGTCTCAGCTGTCTGAGCTGCTGAACTGATGGAGACCGCCTGTGAGGCGTTCAGGGAACATCCGTAAATCGTAAGGTGTATCCAGACGTTCAACCAGAGAGGAGTTTTGGTAAAACTATTTTCATATGTAGCCTCCAGGAGTTGCTCTGCATTCAGATGATGATTATCATTCTGATCTGGATGCATACATTTGTATTGTTCAGCAGACATGAAGCACCAGGAAGTGAAACGAACACTAAATCTGTGCAGGTGTGTTCACGTACCAGCTGCAGGCGTTTGCTTTTGCTTCTTGCTCGCTGACTTCAAGTCAGCGTCACGTTTCCTCTTTGTGGCTGTAAAGGACATTTTTGACAGTTAAACACAGATTGTTCAGCTCCACATCGAGCTCCAGCAGCAAATACAGTAATAACAAAAAGAAGAATAAAGCTGCTCGAAGGCAGTGATTTTATTCACCTGTTGTAAAGTGTAGATAGAGAGATTTACTTTATTGTCATTCAATCAGTGCATTAAAAGAAGTTAAAATGAACTTAGAAAGAAATTACGAGCACAGGTCACACACACAATAAAAAACCTGGAGGTGGGAAACTGAATGAATAAAATTAGAAACCGTTTTAGATCGCACTACGGGCCTAAAGAAAGAAAGAAAGAAAGAAAGAAAGAAAGAAAGAAAGAAAGTGTATTTTTAATCAGCTTTTAGAAAACCCAGAGAGGGAATTTAAACAAACAAACAAACAAACAAACAAACAAACAAACAAACCAAATGTTTTTAATTCACAGAGGTGGAAAAGTTATGAAATAATGACATTTCATCACGAGTCATTCGACCTGTGAGTGCAGTGGAGCTTTGGTTTCGAACTACATTAAAACATTGGATCTAAGTGAAACATGATCTTCCACAGACAAACAGAAACACCATACTTCTGTCATGTTTGTACCTTTTTACCATTTAAGTGATTATTGTCATCAGCTGTTGACGTAAAAGAAATGATTGTTAACAGTCAAACTATGACAATAATCACTGAAACGGTCCATTTTTTGTACATTTTAAAATGAGACGTAAAATAAAACGATGTTAAAGCAACATTTAAAGATCAGCTTTGGTTAATTTTTCATGACAAAACGGGACGTCAGCCATGATGCATTCAGGGACTGATTCTTCCTGTTCTTTTGGTTTCTGTCTCTGATGAATGATGTCATTTTTTCAAAGAAGGTTTTGGGATTCAGAGTGTTAATTACTGCTTCCTACAAGTACAATCTAGCGTAAAATTTAATGTACTTTTAATGTCAGCTGTGGTTAAATACCTGCTATAAGCACGTTACTTCATTAAGCAGATATATAATGAAAACAGACAATATAACGGTTTAATATTCTCATTTTACATAGAAAGTTTACAACATGACACACAATCAACTTTTAGAAAACACATTTCATTTGCTTCATGTCACCGGACCGAGTGAACTCACCCTTTTTCTGTTTTTCCTGGTTGTTCCTCAGTTTGTCCACAAAGGGGCGCAGCAGGTCCTGGACAGCAGAGTCCCTCCTCGGTATCTGATCCACAGCCTCGCTGACTGCTGAGATGGATTTTTCCACTCCGTAGTGCTGGATGATGGTTTCTGGCATGTTTTCTCTCGGCACACTACTCTTCAGGCTTTTGGGGATTGTGAGATATTCGAGCATCTTCCGGTACTGTGGCTCATCCAGCTCCTCGATGATGGAGGTCAGAGCAGATTTCCAGTGTTTCTCTGAGATCTTTGACATCTCTGACACACAGAAACAAACATTAACTCCACTTCATCTATCTCTGGGTTAATGGAGAAGAAGACGAGAGAATCTCAGAAGACACAGTTTGTCTCAGTTCAACAGCAGATGAGACCAGAGGTGGTCCGTTTTAAACACTGAACGAACGGTCCGGCACATGTCCAGACAGAACTTTTAGGTTCTAAAAACGGTCTGAGGAAGTTCTGCAAAGTTCTACGAATGTTTTCAATAGAAAGTTTTCTTTAAGTTCCCAAAATGTTCTTCTTAAAGGCCCGGCTGGTTCTGGAACTGAAAACTAGAACAAAGCTGAATGGGAAGTCCGACTGCGCCTCCTGTTCTTTATGTTGGTTTCATGTTGTCAAACCACAAACTGTTTCTATGGAACAACTTCAGCATGATGCAAGTTCTGGATGAAATTCTAAAGATGTTCAAATTCAAATAACTTTATTTATCTCCTCGGGGCAATTCAAAAGCTCACTGAGAATTTAATATAAAGACAGAAAAAAATAAATAAACAATAAACCACATCATCAGAGTCACATTTTAAATACATATTATAGCTGCAGCTGTCTTTGCTTTAGGGTCAAGTTCCCGAGGAAGGGAAACAGCCAGGAGTTCAATGTCCACGGTGCACAGTCTCTTCCTATCTCAGTACAACACCACCGTTTGCTAACACACTGGCGTACACCACCATGTTTCTGGCTGTCAGCTGACTGTCACAGTAGAACCTTATTGGTGTCAAAAAGCCGTCTATGTGCAGACAACGGTCGCTGTCATTGCCGCTTAGCCAGGTTTCTGTGAACGCCATAATTGCAGCAGTCCTGTATTGGTGCACGTATTCGTCGTCGTTGATGTTTTAAGGTTAGAGCTGAACATTAGAGTTAGAATACAATACAGCAGATCAATCAACGCAGTGAGAATTAAAGCAGCACAGATGACGGAGCGATCCTGAGTCACGTTTCAAACAGACACAAACAAGAGCTAACAAGGATCTGCTTCGTTCCAAAGTTTCCTGTTTGTTTTGACACTAATGCGTCTTATCTTGAACAGAACGACCTTTAAACAGCGAATACTCACCGTCTCTATGGTGTTTGAAAGCTGCTGCAGGCACTCGTTGGCGGGAAGACGAAGGGTTTCAGTCTTACTCATTCGAGAACATAAACAACAGTCGCACTGTGTTGACGTTCCTCTTTCCCGCCTCTTTTTTCTGTCTTCTTCTGCTGCTGCTGACCACAGACTGTATAAAAGATAGACGTAGCAACCGGCCCTGAAAAATGAAGCCAACCCGAAAGTGTCAAACACCTGCAATATCACTACGTCCGCTAGCTCCAAAAAGCCCTGGCTCCCATAGAAATGAATTGGAAAAGAAGTGATCACAGATCATGAAATACTGCATTCCTACAGCTCAGGATTGTTTTCTTATCAGTTGTCATGGTCGAATCCAGAGATCAGGTGGCCAATCTGAAAATAAATTAATACTGAATTTTTAAAAATCATCAACATTTTGCGGGGCAAGGGGCGTGGCCGGCTTGATTGACAGTCGGCAGCGACGATGCAGATGAAGCGAGCAGAAGACGGTAAATGTGGGCGGGCAGAGAGGGCCCGCCTCTCAATCCGTCTGACCAATCGCTGCTCCTATGGCTCCGCCCCCCTCCCACGATTTTTGCGTCACTGGCTCCAATCTGTTATACAGTCTATGCTGCTGACGTCAGCTGGATGCAGCAGAGGCGTACTGCTGCCCTCTATAGGTCATTTCCAGTGACACAGTTAAAGCCAGCTAATGCTCAGGCTCAACAAGGAAAACGAACAGTTTGCATCAGTCTTCTAGTGAAGTTATGTTCAACCAGCAAACCAAACAGGAATCACAAACAAATGTGTTTTAATTCCTTAATGACTGGCAGCATAAACACACGTTTTCAGGTTGATCTTATCTCACTGCAACCAGAAGCAGATTGTCTTTACTGACGTTGGTCAACAGCAGTCTTCAGCATCTGCAAAGCTAATTCAACGACCCCCAGGCGTTCCCAGGCCAGTCGAGAGACATAGTCTCTCCAACGTGTCCTGGG